TGTTCCTGCTGATAGATTGTGTAGCAATGCCAGCTAAGGAGACCACGCTACAGCTCTTCACACTCTGCCATCTCCTAACAAGGCTTTCAACCATGCCCTTAGTGCAACAGATAGAGCTCCTGGGTTGCTGCAGAGCTGAGAAGAAGACATCTAGATGTACATGCTGTTCCAAAAGTCTCCCTTTGCCCTGCAGTCCAAATACGTAACCTAGTACTCCCTGAAGCCCCTTGGAATCCACGCTCACTGGATAGACAGTGCTGGTTTAAGTTTTTCTGGGTAGTATTTTGCATCCTACTTCAGTCTTCAAGAATTCCCAGAGTGCTTATAGGGAACACAAGTTGAGAAATTCAAACAGGTACAGATTTACATGGACCAAAAGCACCTTACAAAATTCTAATTGAGCAAAACAAGAGAGCATGGCAAATTACAAAAGTTGTAGGGAGGCAGTTCACTCAGTGAAGTCAGCTAAAGATCCAGCAGCACAGCTGGTGTCACACTGACCTCCCTGGCTTCCATTTCACATTCTTCCTGTTGATGTAGTGTGTGTATATTCACATATATACACATGCACACATTAGCAAAGCAGCTGAGATTTTCCAGATTCAGTTGGACAATGTTTATTTATTTTATCATTCTGATCTCTTACACTGTGCAAACATTTGCTGTTGGAATATCTGGAAGAAAAATCTCCAACAAGACAGTAATGGAGCCATAGGGAATGTTGTAATCCCTAACTCAGTTACATGTTGTGTGGTACATCTAAGGAATCTCTCTCATCTTACATGAACTTTTTACTTTCCTAAGCTTTTTACTTACATTACCTTTTTACTTACCTGAGAAATGAGAAGAAATAAGAGCGCAGAGGAGGAAAGAGAAAGATTCCAACTGCATTAGCAGCCCATTGGGAGATCCTAATTGCCCTAAAGGCTACTTGTCCCCTCCCCTTAGCATTGGTATCCAAATAGCTGCATGGATCAGGTCTTGCATTCTGTAATTTGTAACACGGTATATTTAATAGCCACCCAGCACTGTACTGCTGCCATTGATTTATGAAGTCATAAGATTTATGGAGTCTGCCACCATCTACAAGTTGATTATCCCTTTTTATTTGGATGCACTGGGCTTTTTTCATTAGAGATGATATATTTTAATACTTGTGACAGTAGTGGGTAGCTACATATTTCTTTATTTCTTCTTGGAATATGGCTGCTTTGGGATTTCTCTCTTTGCCTGAAGTTGCAAGATTCAGTATGATTCATGTTCTCAACATTTTGTTCAGGATATAAACTGTGAATCTTACCCTGTACATGACAAAAATATAGATTTGCTGAGCCATTGAACCATCAGAGAAAATCCAAAGTTGCATCATTCCCCAGTCTATCATATTGCTTTAGTCTCTTTACTTTGGTTGAAAGTTATTCTTTAACTTTGAACTTGTAAGTCTGGTACACAATCACTGGAGGACACCTTAAGGGAGGGTTGGCTAAAAGCACCCAATACTCTTGTGCTCCTGCCAGTCATCTTGTTCTACATTCCCTGCAGCTCATTCTCAGGCTTGTACTGCAGGTTAATGCACACATTCACACAGCTAAGCTCCAGCCATGGAGCTGCTGCAGACACATTCAGCTGGAAAACTTGCCCAGGAACTAAATAAATATTCAGGCAGTGAGCCCACACTGAGCTCCAGTCTGCCACAGTTCTGTTGATAGCTGTATTTCATTTGTGGAGTTTAAAGCTGTCTGCTTCCTCTGTGCGTGAGATGCAGGGATGGCAGTGCTGGCAATGCTCTCAGGAGACAGAATGACAAGACAGGACAGGAAGGCAGGCAGAGTGTCACCCCACCAGCGCTCCCAGTTTCAGGTAACCATGAGGAGATATCTGCCTCAGGAGAGTCACACGACATCTCTTCCTTGCCTGTGGCACAGGTCACAGGACAGCACCACAGTAAGAATATCTTCAGCATAATGTGCCTCAGGAAGGAAACAGGAGGGGTCAAGAGAAATCATACCTAGAGCTTAATAAATAAAACTTGTAAATTACTCTGGTTAGTGACTGTGCAGAGATGAAGGTGGAAACCTACCACAAGGTTTCGCAGCCTGATCTGGCCTCTCCCCACCATGATTGAAGAAAATTGCTTGAAATAAAGACTGAGTTCTTACCTTCAAATTAGAGGACAGGTTACTGTGAAAGAGTAACCTGAGTTTGGTGTCTGGTTTTGTGGTTCCTGCAGCTGAAAGTGTTTGACAATTTTCTGGGAAATTGCTCTCTTGCCAAGATGATCTGGAATGGAGCTAAACCTTGATGAGACCCAGGACCCCCATTTATTTCAGTTTTGACTGCAGTTATATTTAGCATAGATACACTATCTTAAAAATAATAATAAAAAAAATCTCTAAACTACTTGCCAAAGAAAGTTTGTGCCCATATATGTGATTCTGTGTCATAACAACTCAGGCTCTGCTCCGTGTCTTAATGACGCTCATGTGATATCAGTTATAAATGGGAACTGTGAGAGCAAGTGACACAGTGTATCTGAGAAGGAGTTATAAAAAAATATGCTAATCCTTGGAAGATTCTTGGAAGTAAATTTGAATATGTTGATGGAACTCTACAGAAAGTAACATATTCCTCCACAAAGACCTCTCTGTTGCCAAGAACCTCTTTTTATCCACCTTAAAGCATTACTTTATATAAATGCAGAACTGGTGTGTGTTTTTACAAAAGAAAGAAAATTCTGTCCTAGCTGTGTTCACATGCTCTTGGGGATGCAGCATCTTTAATCAGCCATTATGTTGTACAGCTTTTCAGATGTCTCTTTATCTTCCAGATTCTGATGACTGAAACATGTTTAGAACAAGAACAGCTATATCTGTAAAAACTTGTGCCTTTTTGAAAAGTCATGGCTAATGATAGTTTTTTGAAATGAGCTTCCCAGTACTCTGTATCCTCTGGAGGGCTGGTGGGAGGAAGGGATTGCATGTGTTCATGGCTGCTCCCACCAGCTCCTCATTCTACTTCTGAAAGCTCTTTTGGGGCTTTCTGAAACTAGCTGTTGTGAAAAAGAAACAACAAATGGAGAATTAAAGCCGTTTGTGCATTTATCAGTTGCACCTTAACCCATTTGCAAAAATAGAATGCTTTGGAATCTGCTTATGTAGATATCTCCTGTGTTACCTACCTGGATTGAAAATAGAGCAATGGCCAAAATATTCCAGTTCAAGCAACTTTGCTCAGGAGATGCTAACTAGTCAGTCACACAATTTTTTTTTCAAGGATGCTGAGTTTATGCAGGTTAGTTTGAGTTTGTGTGAAAACGCATTACCTTTTATTATTATATTAATTTCTTTCTAAAGCTTTGCTCTAGTGTTTCTTCCTGCCTGCAGTGTTCTTCAACTTCTTTCCTCCCCCATGACCTGTGACTCCTCACTATGTGCCCATGCAACGTCCAAGGCTTCCTCTCAAGAGGAGATTGCGCTGTGCATCTAGAGATTTAATTTATCCAAAACCAGCTGTACAATAACCACATATTCCATCTCAAGATGGAAACAGAGCTGTTTTCATTCACAATATTACACGGATTATTTCCCATGGTTTTCATTAACACCCACAGTGTAAATTGATGATTGTTCATACAACAGTTGAGATGCAGTGTTAAATTATTCAGTATGGACGCTGTAATATTCATGTGTTGTGATTTTGGTTATTTTGTAAACAAATATGAACACTAAAGACCCATGACAATGTTAATGAACTGAAGCACAGGTCTAATTGACTCCATTGGTACAATTAAGGTAGTAGCTTATATCTCTCTTTTCTACAGCTTCCAAATTTGAATAATCAGTCCAGGGTCAGTACTGTTGCCTCTAGACACCTTGCATTATGCAGCGCTGAGAAAGTGAAATATGAAATAATGAAAAAAAATCCAGAAATTGATAAAAAAACCCAACAACAATCTTGCTAATTTCTTTAGTTGCTCTAGCAGCTAACATATTTCTGCCAGAAATTAAGCCTCCCCCGCTTTTTCCCTATGAAGATACTGATAATTGATGTCAGAGCAACACAGAGAACATGCATTTCTAGTACCTAAAATATTTGACCAGAAACACTTCCCGGTCCTTTTTAACTCAAGAAACATGAAGACATTTTTCTTTTTCCTTTATGCTACTCAAACGAGGATGAAGAATGACAAACTGCAAATACAGAATGGGGAATAACCCCACTCTGTCAATTAAATGGACAGTGTAAGGAAAAATGTTAGTGAATTCACTATTCATTTTACAACATTTCAGCTTGAATGATATCTCTGGGAAAGCTTCTTATGTCTACAAGGGTTTTTCCAGAAGAGAACATTTACAATAGTTGTCTTGGCAACATGAGCTCTGTAGGACTATAAATCAGAGCTTTCAAAGGTTCGTTTTCAAACTCTGAAATAAAACAGAAGAAAAATAAGGCAACTAGGTGAGCAGAATTTTATGATCTTAAATGCATGAAATGACCAGATCCATTACATGTTAAGCTATTCCACCTTGTTTTGTGCTGATGAAGCCTCGACTGAGGTAAAGTCTTAAACAGGAGCCAGGAGCAATGCACAGAGAAAGCTGTAACAAGCTGCAGTGAGCACACATTAAAACAGCTAACAGGATAATAAGCTTAGAGGAAGAGGACCCTTAACAAAGCCAGAAGGAATTCAGAGTACAATGCAGGAGACTGAAGGAACTCATGGTTGTGATTTTTCAAAACCTAAATGTTGTTATAAAAAGAACGGTTATAAAACAGTTGTAATGGTTATAAAAAGAACAGTTCCACATGGCCATCAGGATCCCAGCCTTGAGAAGCAATGCAGGGAAAGACTAAAAGAATTCAGCTGAAATGGGGTGAAATTTTATATTATTAATTAATGTCTTTAGAGATATTAAGAATTTATCTAGAAAACCTCTTAATCATTATAATTTTTTATTAGACACTAAACAAGATATTTTATTTGTCCTTGTGCCGTCAATTGCTTCCAAGGTTTGCAGAGTTGTCAAACATTCCATGCCATCACATTTTTTTTACTGGAAAACCAGCAATCCCTTCCTCTTCTGCACCAGGAGAGGCTGGCATGAAGCAGGGTGTTGACAGTGCTGCCATCTGAGTAACAGAAAAACAGGACACAGCTCCACCTGAGCAGGCACACAGCCTGTCCTAGAGAAGTTGCTGCTGCTATCATTGCCTTCATATTTACCTTCATTGGGAATCATCAACTTCAAACTGGGAATCAAAGTCTTGGAACCTTTCTTCTCCTGGTATTTTTACAAGTTTCATCTAGCAGCAGCTGAAAGGGAGAGCAGAGATATGTGTGATCCTGGGGGAGCTGAGCCTTTAAGAGCTGCCCCAGCTCCCTACTCCCACCAGTAGTTTTTGTCCGATACCACAAAAAAAATATATTATGAAATTTCAAAGAGGTAGCTGAAACATTTCTATCTACACAGCATGCAAACCTGATTTCAACAGGAGACAGAAGGTACTGAAACAGATGAAAGACAAATTCTCCAACCAGTGATTTCAGCCTGGATACACATGTCAAGAAAATTTTGACTGTGTTTTCCCAAGACCCCTGCCATGCCTTACAAAGATCTTATTTCTTGTTCAACTTTCTAGACAGCAGCAGTAATATATTTCTAGCTTGGCACTAGCCTAACAAGGACAAATACAGTTCCTTCTTCAGTCAGCAATCACTAATGAAATGATAAAGGAAACAATCAACTAATGCTTACATGACACCAAAAAGAAATCAAACAAATTTGACAGGGAAAATGCAATTTATGTGATCCTACTGGTGCTGTTCCATTTAAAATTTAACTGTGATCTAATAGAAGTAAAAAGGGGTAGTCAATGGCTAAAGTTACTCTCAGTGAGAATTTCAAAAATTTCAGTAGCAGTTTTTGTCAGAACTTTTGTCCTTCCTTGATCTCCTAAACTCATCTCATTATAGCTAATGTTCTCAAAACACTGTCAAGGACCTTGATAGATGAAACTTAACACAGAAGCAGCATGTCTGGATAGAAATCACTCAATGTCTCAGTAGGACATTTCTATTCTGTCTCAAAGAAATGTTCAAAACCTTCTGATCTTCAGAAAGTCTCAATTTATTTCTGTAGAGGTAAAAAAAAGACCCAGAAAACTCTGTCTCCTGCACTTCCCTTTATTATCTTTCTCCTTTACCACCTGTTAACCTAAGATGTAATAAATCATCTCTGTGCAGTAGGGCAGACATGCAAAGCACACCTGTGATCCTGAAACTTGCTCCTGTCTTCATCTCAGCCGTAGGGAGGGACAGTACCAGCAGCTACAGGAAATGTTTTGAGTTTTTGCTGGTGCTACACATCACACAGTCCTGATGTGCAAAGAGAAAGCTGCTCCCAAGCACGACCCACTCGGCAGAACAGGCACAGTGTAAAGAGTCAAAGGACATAAGGGCACCCACTGAGGCTCTTTAAGGAAGGAAAGCATTGCTTGAAAGGATTATTTAGGAAGCTGGTACTCTTTGAGATCATCCACCAACGCAGGTCAGAATGTTGTCTACTCACTGCTTAAGAGTTTGCCTTGGCTAAACTTGTTAAATTTCATCTTTCTTGAGGAAGCTGCTATTTTTCATTCTTCCGTGTTGCCCATTACTGAAGTATCTATGAAACTTAAAATTTGAGATGTACTTGTCTTCAATGCATCACAGTGAAACAAAGATAAAGTACAATTTCCCCCATTTTATTGATAGGTAACAGAGCTGAGATGTTTAAGATTGTACCTAGGATTCCAGGAAAACTGTCAGAATGAATAAGAGATCCACTTTCCCAAATTTTTGTCTGACATATGAAACCTCACTCCATGTAATGCTTTTTCTCTCTTTTCTCTTTTTTTACTATGCCAGTTAAAAGTCTGTGAGTGATTCTTGATAGAAACAGTAAAAGTGCAGGGGAAATAAAACCAAAGATACATTTAGAGCTTCTAGATGCACAAGAATGTAGCTCCTTATTTCTATGGGGATGGTTTTTCAGTGCCAGCAAAGTTTGGTTAAAACAAATCAGACTGTGTTTGAAACAGGTGTTTTTACCAGCTTGTGTACTGTAGCTACTGTGATGGCTGGATCATTCAAATATCCTCAAAAAAGCTGAAAAATTTGGGTTTCTTTCTCATTTCCAAGGTGGAAGAACGTATGTGTGTTGGAAGTAAGAAGGAAAATGCTTAAGTTGGGGAAGGCAAATGCTGAATTTTCACAATTGCCTGCAAGGATGTGTTTTCAAGAGACTCTAGTCTAAAAGCTGCTCTTTCACTTGCCATTTTGTCCTCAGAGACAAGTTTTTCTCATGTCAAGGTTGAGTGATCTCAATATCTGAAATGGCAGCATGATGACAAGCACAGAACAGAATGAGAAATAGAAGCACTCTCTCTCTATTTCAATCTCTCTTCATTTGATGCTTGCTGCTGATGCCACTGCAGGTGAAATCATTATATTTCTGGTGCAGAACCTGTAGCTGGAGACTCAGAACTGGTAATTTTGAGGAAAAAAATAAGTGATGTTGTTCACTATATTTTGTGATTGTCAAGAGATACTTCTGCTTCACTAATGGAATCCAGTGCAAGCTTGTTGGAGGAATTACCAGGCATGGGAAGATATGGTGACTATCAAAAGAATTTTAACTTTCTTACTCCAAACTTTAGCTGTTAAAAGGGTGGGCAGAATGTGTATGCATTCTGGAGCATGAAAACAGCTGCAGGCATAGGAGATCAAATCTTATAGAATCCTATAGTGGCATTAAGCAAAGCATCAGCCAGCAGGAAAATATCTACCAAGAAGAGGTAGAATCAAAAAATAACTACTGCAACAATAAAGAAACCTCTCTTTGCCTGGCTGGGGTCTCTGTCCAATGATTATCCCTCAGAAACCTTAATTATCATCATTAATACATTTTTAATATTTCTCTCAAAACCCATTTAAACGTCATGCTGTAATAGAGGATATAACAACTTGGATGTCACAGTGAAAAATGTCATTGGAAGGGCTGTTTTCAGAATGCTTCCTATTGTCAGAAGCAGGATAAAGACTAAATCAGTTACTGTTTGGGGTTGGTGGAAGAAAAATAGTTTTGTGATTAAAGTAGTATTTTCAACATTTTTGTGCTTTTACAAAGTTTTGTGATTAAAGTAGTATTTTCTAAATGTTTTGTGCTTTTACAAAGTGGCAACTATTCTTGAAGGCATTTGCAAAGCATAATGTGGTGTGACAGTCATAATCTTGGAATGAAAATGTAAAAGTAAGATGCTACACTGCAGCTGGGGAAATAGGCAATTAAATGATTTCTCCATTGTTTCTTTTTCTGATTTTTCTCTATAAAACTGTTCCCCCTCAGATCTTAGGAATTCTGTATACCTCACTCAGGCCTATTAAGCGACTTTTTAAATCCTTTACATCTGCTGATTGACCTTCTGTCCAAGTGACTGCTTTAAAAATATGGGCTATTTTCACTTAGAATTCAACATATTGTGGTGTAAATTTCAGATTTTAATTATTCTGTTAACCCATGAAATGCTACACAACATTGAGCGCTCTGAAAAAAATCCTATTCCTGTATGTATGAAAATAGATTGTCAGAACCAGGGAACAGCTTTAGAATAAATAACTGCTTTTTTCAGTTCTTCACCTGTAAGTTAGGAATGATAGCATTCATTTTATCTCATAGTGACAGCATTAATGAAAATCAATATTACACATACTTGAGATATTTTAAAGATGAGAAAAAAACATGAGAGCAGGGAATATGTTGCTATTTTGTTATCAGTAAAGATGCAGTAAATCTTATAAGGAAAAAATATATCCTAAATAATTTTTCATTATTGCTTGTCTTTTGGGAAAGGTCACCGTGAAATAAGCTATTTCTATGATAAACTGATTTTGGATAGGTCTGTTGGCTGATGTGCCTCAAGACAAACAATAAGAGCCCAGAATGCATGCTTCTCTTTGATCTGAAAACCCACACCATTAGGAAACTTCTGGGCATAGGGAAGTCACACTGAAATTTTATCCAAAGGGGCCAAAGGAGGAGTGAATTCCTGGGGAGAATACATACAATGAGTAAAGCAAGAACATACCATGATAAATTTAACATGAAACCTTGTTTCCCTGTCTGTCAAATATTTTTTTAGCATAGGCAATGCTGTTACAGGTCTGCTACACATTTCTGCAAGAGGGGATTTTAAGAAGTGTTCTGTTTGAGCCACATCAAACTAAGTTCTCCAAATCTATTAAAGATTTTATTTCTCTGTGTGGCTAATTAACAAGGGATAGGATGAATCTAACTTTTTACCATAAGTAATTTTGGCTGCAAAGACAGTCATGAAAAAAACCCATAGAAATTATATTTGATGGTAGAATACCCCTCTCCTCCTTCCTCCCACCTTCCCCCCAAACCCAATCAGAATTAGTCTTTCTCCATGAAGTTCATGGGTTAGTGCTCATATGGACGGTAGTCCTGGCACAGAGCTTCATAATTGTTATGAAAACTTTATAAACCTTAACTGTCATTCTTCTGGATGCTTCAGTAGTAGGATCTAATACCACAACAAAATCTCCTCTCTTGATTTCAAAAGAAAGCAGGATCACACCTTCTGGGAACAATGTTTTTCTGCTAATTATACTGTGTACTACATAGCATGAAATTAATTAGAGGGCTTGTTAATGGTCCCTAAAACAATGACATCTGTGAATGTGAAGTAAACTCAAAATGAAAAACAGCACTTTAAATTCCTAGCAGAATTCCAAAATTCTAATAGATGTGATATATACTGTGAAGTATGGAACATTTATTCCTTGTGTTTCTAATAGATACTATATTCTGATGCATTTTAAATACAATGAAGATTTAACTACAGCTGGAAGTATTGCTTACCAGAAATGATTCTATCTTGATAAAAAACTCATACACTACTATGCATAAAAATCACTTGTTAAAATACTTACTGAGCAAAAATGTACACAGAGAAAAACACCCATTAGCTTTTCTCATTATAGCTAATGGCCAAACCTCATTGATTACAACAGGAGTTCATTTCAGAGAGCATTTCTGCTTACTTTCACTGCAGGCCAAATTATACCTCTGCAATCTCTGGAACCCTCAGTATTTTCCATTGCCACGTCAACAGCTGCTAGCAAGTGCTCAGCCTTTATTCAAGTGCCTGAGTCTGTGCTGGTGTCCCCAGCCAGCCTGCTCCACAGGCTCACATCTGAAATGTTCACATTCTGCTGCCTGAATCGTCATTTCCCTCCCATCTAATAACTAA